GAGAGACTCCTCAAGACTTGAAGTCCGCCGTTGCAGATGACGCATACATGCTCGTTGTCATCTTGTGCCCCGGCGACCAAGAAACACAATGGTTCCGCCTGCCGGTCATCAGGGGGCATAGGATCAGACCTTCCCGGTGGCAGTCCGATCGGGGCCTTGTAAAAAGGCCAGCATCGGATCTTCCACGCGTCGCGCTTCAAAGATGGCCTCCAAGACGCTGGGAGCGCAAGCGCTGACAGAGATAAGTGTGCTTTTCTGCACCCACAACAAATACACACCGCATTTGGCATGCCCTTCCTTTCCTCCGCCCCCGCCCCCTGCAGCCTGCAGGCCCCGTATCTCTACCCGCGTCTGCCCGCTATGGCGGTGCATTTCTGGGGTCTTCTCGTCTGTCCATGGACGCGACATTCCTACCTTTAACATTCCTGATTATTCCACGTATCCCCCTTGTGCTTTCCAGACTGTTCGCGCCCCGCGAAAGCATTGATAACGTCTCATTTGCCACGTGTCGATTCTGTTGGTCCTCGAGCGGATCCGCCGATCGACTGCCGCCCTGTCGGGGACACGGCAACAGAGGGCCGCGTCGAGGCCCTCGTCGACGCGGCGATCCCAGCCGCCTGCGCCCTGCAAGGTGCCGCCCACACAGGAGTGCCCGCAAGCGTCGCCAAAGAAGTCGCCGTCGACGGAACCATCGGCGTCGCCGCCAACGGCCCGCCACCCGCGCCGCCGGGGGGAGGCCTCGCGAGGGCAGCCCGGGCCCTGGGTGTCCAGGCCCAGGACAGCCCGGATCGTTCCGCGACGCGTTTCGCGAGCTGAGCCTGGGCCGGATCAGGCAGGCATGGCATGGTCGCTGGCGGGCGCGGTAGCGTCCGACAGCGATCTACTCTGCGATTTTCGAGTCGGCGCGCAGGCCCGGCAATCGCCGCGCGCCCGCTCGACCAAGGGCAGGCGGGGCCATGGGCGACGCGCGCTGGGCAGCGGACTGCCCCCGCAGCCGCGCGACCCGGCGCCCTCCCCGTGGTCAATGGGCGCTCCGCTGGCTGGGTAAACGTAATTTGGTTCTGCGCATCTGCACGGTTGCTTCAACGCACTTGCCCGGGCCGGGCCGTTCCCAGCGCGTGTCTGTTTGTTTTCCGCCGCGCGCCTGCGTTCCGAGGAGGCGAGGGCCCCGGGCCGGTCGCCGCGCCCGCCGCTTCCCCGTCGCGGCACGGCAGGCAATCCGCGCACAGGCGCATTAATTGCCAGGGGCGCCAGGCAGACTATGGGCCCACCTGCGCGAGGGGGGGCGCGCAGGGAGGAGCGGTCGCGGAGGACAGAAGGGGGGGGCACTCTGAGCGCGCCAGCGCGGCCGGCCGGGGCCGAAGTAGCCTGGCAGAGGACGCGGGCGGCGTCGCGGCCGCGCCAGGGACTGAAGCCGGGGGCGCAGGCGCAGGAAGCGCGAAGAGTAAGATGATGGGCCACGGGGCTGCGGGAGCAAGAGCATCCGAATCCTCGTCACGTCGCCGAGAGCGTTAGGCTTTGCTGTTGGGGGTCGGCGCCAGCTAGAAGAGGGGCCGCGGCTTAGGTGGCAGCGCGAGAAGCCCGCGCGGGGCTGCGCCAAACGCGCGGGCTGCAGCAAGACGCCGCTGGACCAAGCCCCAAGGAAGCTGGCAACTGCCGAGGCGGCGCAAGGGCCAGAAGCGTCGGCCAGCTAGGAGCAGCGCCCAGCGCGCGCCTTGAAAAAAGTGCGCGTGTCGTCTCGTCACTGTCTGCTCCTCCCATCACCTTGTCATCTCTCCCTGCGCTGTCCCCCTGCTTCCGCCCCTCCCGCGTGACCCCGAGCCCTCCTGCGTGGCCCTGCCCTGGGTCGCCGGCGGGCGAGGGGCGGCGCCTGCTGGGGGCGCGCGCCGTAGGCAGATCGTGCTGGGCGCCGGGAAAACCGCCGGGGGCCGAGGGGCGGCGCGAGCGGCCCATTATGACAACGAGCCCGGTAGAAAACGCGCGATCCTACGCGCGGCCACTGGCCCGCGCACCACGGGCAATAATTACTACTGTGGCCAATCTCGCCGGGGGGGCGCGGCAAGGCCCAGGCGGCGCGCGACCGCCGAGAAAGTTCTGGCAGACGCACAATGTTTTTTTGTTTCCGCCGCTACGCGAATGCGCCCTCGTCGCAGCCCCCCTGGCACGCCAGTCGCCGGGGAGCGGCCGCCGCGGCAGAATGCCACGCGGCTCAAGATGCAGCGCGGCCCAGAGCCACCAGAACCCGCGCGCCACAGGCGCCTCGGCCCCGCCCGTTTGCGCCGCGACCGTCGATCGCCCCCGGCCGCCGCCGACGGGCCCTGCGCGCCCAGGGGCCCCGCGCTGCGCCTCCGCGGGCGCCCCCGGCGCCCGCGGGGGGGGCTCGCTCGAGCGACGCGCGCTGGCAACTAGCTCGCCAAGCGCGCTTGCTGAAACCCCCGCGGCGCAATCCGAGCTACTTCGAACCGAGCCAGCGGGCGCGCCTGGCAGGCGCCAGCTCCTGAGTGGGTGCCCCGATCTCTTGTCCTTAATTCGCGAGAGCACCTCGGTGGAACAGGGGGCGCACCGCAGCGGGGCCATATCCGCATTCCACTGCTACCCCCAATCAGCCCTGGATGGAGGAGAGCGCCAAGAAAAGGCATGACAACTCCCTGCGCTGCGCCGTAGAATCGAAAATGCTGCAAGATTGCAGCCGTTGCTGTGAAATTCAGGCGCGGAAGTCATGCTGCTGTTTGCCCAAATGGACGGCTAGTCTTGGTCATCCGTGACGAATCTGCGCGCTGATGTGCGCTGTTGGCACCAGTGGCGCACTTCGACGGCCCAGTTCGGCGGTGCACGGGCGGACTGGTCGGCCCGCGAAGAAACTGACCTGCCAGTCGCGGTCGCACGCGAAGCGCCCTGAATCTTTAGACTGAATTGAGGTCAAACCAGGCTGCCAGGCCACTGTCCGGGACGTCGCGATAACAACAAGGTTCCTTTTCTGTGTTCCAACGTGTTCCGGGACTCTCGCGCTCTGGCGTCGAGACATCTCATTGCACGAAGATTCAGCGACACCTTCCATGGCCAGCCATAAGATCGTCCCGCTCGGACAAAGCATGGTGTGCCACGCATCCCAAGGATGGTAGACACCCCGAACCAATGCTCGTGCTATCCCTTGCGAGAATGAGTGGTGCAGCGGAATTTGCGCTCGGGTTGCGACGCAGGCGCGCCCGTGCTTTGCACAACTCATTGTGCGGAGCCTCGCCCCATTAATTGCGACTCTTCCCGGCGAGATCGCACGCGACTCTTTCAGGCTGCTGCAGGGGGAACACACTCACTGCGAAAAGACGGTGCCCACTGGCACAAGACGGCGTGCTTTATGCCGGAAGAGTTGGTGCAAACCCCGGGAAGCTGGTCAGCCCCAGAAGCCACGCGTGCCTTTTACGATCGCTTCTGTCTCTGAATGGGCGATCGTTGCACGCCGTGTCTACAGCATCGAATGACGTGGCGGTCCCAACCATTTCTCAACGCCGCGTTTCACCAATTCCTCTGTGGAGGCGCCTCGCTGGGAGCTCGTGAAAAAATCGTCTCCACGAGGCTGCGCACGGCAAGTCCTCTTGGCAACCTTTCCCAGGTCAACACGGACTTAGCCAGGCTAGAGTGCAGTTGAATGAAGCACCCCAGCATAGGCATATGTTGCCAGACGCTGGAGACGCAGCCGTGGACCTTGAGACAAGACAATCCCTCCCGATCCCATCCCCTGGTCACGGCGCAAGTAGGAAACAGAAGGCGTATTTTCTTAGGGGGCTGCAAACTCGGAAAAAAAAAGGCTTCTGTGGGGTCGCAGGACTGGGCTCGTCTAGCTCGTTCGCTCCTCGCGCGTTTTGCTGGATTCGGTTCGCGCGCAGGCGCCCTGTTCCAATGGTCGGGGTCTAGCGCTCCAGCCCCCCGCACCTTTTTGTTCGCGCCTGCTGCAGGCCCGCGTCCCTTTTGGGGGGGTGCGCATGGCAACGGTTCCTGGGTCACCGTGGACCTGGCCAGGCCGGCCTGCAGTTCCACGAGGTACCCCACAAGAGGCACATGTTGACATTGGCTGGAGACGCCGCCGTTGACCTTGAGGCAAAACAAGTTCTTCCCGATTCCATCCCCCCGTCACGGTGCAGCGAGCAAACAAAAAGGGAAATCTCCAGGATCTCTCCAGTGCCCCCAGGCTCCGGGCCCACGACCCCTGGATTTGACCCCAGGCGAAGACGTGGCCCCTCACTCTGCGACGATGCTTTCCTCACGCGCCCCGCGGCGCAGACCACCCGCCCACACCCACCTCTTGTTGGCGTCGCGACCGCGCGCGCGGCGGAGCGGCTGAGGTCGACTCACGCGCAAGATCGCGGACTGGGCAAGCTCACGCAGCGCGGAGAGGCTGACACACACCCACATACGCACTTGCTCCCACCGACGGCGCGTTTCGAAGGCACGCGCGGTGCAGAGCTGACAGGCCACAGAAGGAAAATCACTCAGGCCACGGAGCCTCGTTGACAGCGTGCCATCCAGGGGGGAGGGGCAGCGTGAGAATGCCCAGTGCAGGCGAGGTGAGGCGCGGGAAACACACAAAAAGAAGCCGCAGCCACGTGGGCGCCGGCCTCCATCCCGGTGGGTTCTCCACGGCTGCGGGATGCCGTGGTCGGCGTTTCGGGGGCACGCGCCGACTTCGGACAGATGTGGGGCCCCCGGGGGGCCCTAAACCCTCGCTCTCCCCGCCGTTCGCCTGCGAACAGCGCCAGCGTCGAGGATGATGTCCGCGCGCACACACACACGTGCCAACAGTCAACAGGAAAGATGGATGAGCAGCGCCAAGCAACTGGACCACGTAATGCTGCAAGCAGTGCCTGCCCCTGCCTTATCCAACCCTCCCCGCGCCCTCCAAAGCCCTTCATCGGTTCTTCCCAACCCTCCTGCTCCCATACCCCTCTCCCCTGGCCCGTCTGCTTATGCCTGCCATTGCACGCCCGCCGCTACTGAATGCCAGCCTGGAGGTTCTGCCTACGTGTCGACTCCAGCTCAGCAGCCAAGTTGATGGCCGCCTGCGCGCGAAAACTGAAGGAAATGAACATACGTACTGAGTCACGTATGTGTGGCCTTGGAAGTTGAGCCGCACATGCAAATGACAGGGTTCATGTGTTAACCAGCGCGGGCCTCAAACAATGACTTCTTGCAGTTTACGCGGGCCAGTCTAGGTGGTGCAACCAATGTGATGCGAGCTAGGTGGTGCAATCCACGTGGTGCAACTTATGCGGTGCAAAGCAATGCAATGTTATACAAAACGAAACAAGGCGAAGCAAAGCGACGCACATCGATGCTAAACAATGTAAAGCGATGTGGCACAGGGCGAAGCAAGGCCAGGCCATAGAAAGCAATGTCAGGCAACGTAAAGAAACGCGAAGGAATGCAAGTTAACGCAAATAAGTGCGACTCAAAGCAATGCAGCGCAATGAACAATGCAAAACTTGCGATGCCAAAGGGGGAGGTACAAGTGGGGCGGGGTGGGGGGGGGGGCGCAACCAGACAGCGGCGACGGATGGGAGCAGGGCGCCTCGGCCAACAGACGTGTCTTTTGTTGGAACACGGGATCGAGGACGGACGGGAGCGGGGCCGCCAAATCAACAGAAAAACCCATTTCCTCAAACGCAAACTCTTTTTCAGGGGTAACGGAATTGATGTGTCACGCGATGCCGAGGCAAGCTTGCATGACAAGTTTGCCAGATGCGCTCAACTACTGGCATGAAAATCGAGTGGCGTGATTCGTACGTGCGTCGTCTGATCACATCAAATGTGGCTTCCGACGGACATGTATGCACGCATGGGTTCGTCGCGTGGGCGCCCAGACAAGACGTCACCGCCATTAGGGCTAGTTGGTGACAACCAAAGGCTGCAGTTGTAGCAGCGACTAGGCTCGGAAACCAACGCCAACAATAATCAAAACTGCAGGGGCTAGCTGGGGCCCATGGGGACTAGACACGTGCGTGCGTGCGTGAAGAAATGTTCGACGCCGTCGGCGTTCAGCGGGGCGGCAGGGTGAAACGGGAGGGCTGTCAACCCTAGAATCGCAAAGCGGTGAACTAAATCGACATGTTCGGCAGGGCCCACGATTGGGTTCAATGCTGCCGTATGTGAATCAGCCACCGTGCCTTCAGCACACAGTGGAGTGGTCAAGGCTCATGCAGATGTGATGTTGATATGGATTACTGGAACCTCAAGGGCCAGAGCCACTAAATTGCAAGAGATGCAAGGTGCTCTTGGACGCTTCCGAAGCTTGTGGTGTGGGCCTCAGGGAAGACAAACCGGCCCAAGTCGACTCCAACGTGTCCCCAGAGCCATCCGACAAGACTCTCCGAAAGGCATGGGGATCCTCGGTCGCCCGAAGGGGCCGCCCTGGGGCTATCTTGGGGGCTGGGCAAGAAATCCTAAATCGCCCAAACACATGAGGCTTAGCACTACTTTGCATACGACCTTCGTGGCCTATCTGGCGTTCGAGACGGCCAGGGGACCCCCAAGACACGCCCCAGGGGGCCTTCGAGTCGGGCCTTCGAGGCCCTCAGGAGGGCCCAGGAGGCCCCGAAGAGGGGAAACTCAAAGCCCGCCTTAGAGCCATGCGCCCGAAAATGGCCATCGAGCCAGCCAGCAGGCCCACAAGGGTCCTCGAAGAGGGCTCCAAAGAGTCTCCCAGGGGGGCCCCGAGAGGCCCCCGAGAAGCCCCCGAGAAGCGCCAAAGAGGCTTCCGTGAGGCATCCCAAGAGCCCCCCCCCAAAAAAAAACCTGTAAGAGGCCCGGAAAAGAGGCCCTCAAAAGTCTGCTTGTCCACGAGCCAGGCACGGGTTAGAGTCGTGAGTTGGAGACCCGTAAGGGCTAGTGCCAAGAACCGGTGACGTGGCAATCAAAGCCTGTGGGTCTACTGGGCGTCAGCCAGTAAAGGCTAGGGTCAGGAACAAGCGCTGACGACAGTCAAGGCTGCTGGGGCACATGGCGTCAAGTATAGAACTGACAATTGCGGGTGCAAGTGCTTGGCATGAACACAGTGGGTCTAGTGAGGCTCTAGCGTCCCCGGCCGAAGAGTACCCCGGCAAGGTCTGATCAGAAATGGTTCTGCCCATGGGCGCCGCCCTCGGGGCCCACCAGAAAGCCTCGAGAAGGGCCAAGACGCCCCCAAGAGGCCCACAAGATGGTCCAGGAGGCGCCCGGGACACCACAAGATCGCTCCAAGACGCCCAAGATGGCCCCCAGACGGCCCAGTAGCCCTCCAAGAGGACCCTCAGAGGGCTCCCAAAGGCGAAAATCATAGATTCCCCTTTGGTTTTTGAAAGATTTTGGCATTCACGCCTGTGCAACTTCCCGACGCTCAAAGACGGCCTAAGAGGCCTCCAAGATCGCCGCAAGACGGCCCGAGAGGCCACCTGGAAGGCCCCAAGACGGCCCAAGAGAACCCAAGATGACTCAGGAGGCCTCCAAAAACGGCGCAAGAGGCCCCGATAACGGCTCCAAGAGGGAGCCCAGACGAGGGACCCGAACGGACATTTCGAGCTATCGGCCCCGAGAAGCCCTCAGGAGGCCCGTAGGGACCCCCAGGAGGCCCTCAAGAGGCCCCAAGAGGCCGCCAAGAGGCCCCCAGATAGCCCCAACAGACCCCAAAGAGGCTTCCAGAGGGCCCCCAATATGCTCCCAAGAGTCCCCAGAACTGCCCTCTAGAAGCCTCCGAGACCGCTTCGAAGAGACCCCAAGAAGCATCCCTGAGGACTCTGACCCACAACCTAGCCATCTCGGTGAGCAGTAGAGGCCAGAACCCCCACGACAAGCACCAAAGCAACTACTTCACCTCCATGCCTGCTGTCGCCACGCCTCCAGAACAAAAAAGTCAGAAACAAAATAATCAACCAACAGAAAGACGCCAAGCAGCACAGTATGGGCCACGAACGCGCTGGCAAGCGCCAACGGTGGCACAACACGGGCCGGCGGAACGATCGAATCGACTGATGATGGGGTAATGTCCAAGACCCGCGAGAGAGGCGAGAGGCGAGAGGCGCGCCGTGTCCGGCCGAGAAGGCCGGCCCGCGCGGGGCAAGGCGCAGGGGCCGCAGCCCTCACTTGTCGTTCCTGTGCACGAAGCCAGACTCCAATGAACTCCAATCTCTGGCGAACTTATAAAAAATGTCTTGGATCCCTTGGACGATATGTCCAGGACCCGCGTTTACGGCAATCGAGGCTTCTGAAGCTTACAGGCTTAGGAGCATTCGTTGGCGGCAACCAGGACTCATTCGGAGCGAGCGATGGATCGGTGAAGCTAGTTGAAGGGGCCCTGGGACACACACAAATAAATACACACAGATTACAGACAACTTTTTGCCTTCCCCCCACTTCTCATATTTTCCGCTATTTTCGTGGGAATCGTCGATTAATCCTTCCTGCGTTTTTGTCCTCCCTGACTAATGTCGGGCTGACGGCAATTAGGATCAGTGCGACTAGTGCAGGCAAGTATGGGCGAGGGTCGGGAATCAGCGCGAAGAGCAATCAGGGGCAAGTGGGCGAGTGACAGTCGGATACCAACGCCGGCGGCAATCGGAGCTGGCTGACAACCAGTTTGGGCCAGTGGGGTCAAGGACCGAACATGGATGCAATCGGCGATGCTGGAGTGATGAGTAGGGGCTGGTAGAGGGCAGTACTGGGTCCCAGCGTTAGCGGCAAGTGGGGTTGTGGGAGCAATATGCGGGACTATTGACGGGAGCGACTACTGGTGGACAAAAACAAACAGGCCTGGCAGAGTGCGAGCAGGGGCCAAGGGGGCAGGTGCAAGGAATAGTCAGGGGCACCGAAGAGGGCCAGCGGCCCGCGTCAGAAGGCTGGCAAGTGAACATCAGACGTCCATTAAAGCAACTTGAATTCCAATTCCAAGAAGCATTCCCTCCTCATTGCAGGACGTAGTTAATGGGCCGTATGAGAGGTGTACTGAGTAACAGAAACAGACGTTGAGGAGAGGAGAAATGGCTGCCATGCAAGATACACTTGCCGACTGTGATCAACACACAGTCGGAGTGGTGACTTACGGGAACGCCGCTCAGACGCGGCCGTGGCTGAAGCCTCGAAATGCGTACCAGTGCATCCAAAAGACTGCTTTCCATCTTTTCGGCAATTTCCTATTTGAAGGGGAGCTTAAACAAAGGGGAGCGGAACGAGCGCCACCTGCGCCACGTTGGTCCCGCTCGACGCATTTGTTGTGCTATGTGTTCGACGTCGCTGGATGCATCCGAGAACCGCCTAAATCTACTAAAAGTCGAAATCATCGATCTCTCTCCTCTGACGTTGCATTTCTTTGTAACGTGGGCCCCCAGAAGTCACGACACGACTAAATGTCACGGTAGATAGCTTGGAAAGGACCATCTCGGCTGCATGTGAAAGGACCCAGGGCAGGAGTGAACTTTGATGCGCGGCTTTCGGGTGCCGCCCAAGGGGGCTAAGTCCAAGCGCGCCGGCTGGTGTTGGGGGGCGCGTGGACGGATTAGCGAATGGGCTTACGTAGCTGATTTCTCCGGCGCCTTCCGTTGACGGAGGCGCCAATGTGTCGATGAAAACCCCCGGCGGCGGAGCCGAAACCAACTGCATGCAGCAGATTTCGTGACCCCCCCTTCCCCTCCCCCACCCCCTTTCCTCCGCGTCGACAAAGGTGACTCCAGCGAACGATCAGTCTCACAGTTTGAGCAAGGACCGACCGTCCCGGCATTCCGAATAGTCCTACCACGAAAAGTTCTTAGAAACCACAAATGTTCCGAGGACAAAGCAATGTTCTTAGAACATGAGCCCGTTGTGATAAAACAAAACAGACCCCGGCCAGAAATGTTCTAAGAACAGTTCGTTGAAACCACACATGGTTCTGAGAACATTCTTTGGTGGGACTATAGGCACGCTGGGACGCTTCGCCACTGCTTGAGCCCCCCCCCTTTCCTCCGCGTCGACAAAAGTGACTCCCCCGAACGATCACTCTCACCGTAGCCGAACTTTGCTGGGCATGGCGCGCCGGCCCTGGCCTGCCACTTGTTGTTGCGGATGGTCTCGCGGTCCCGGCGCCGGGCCGTGAGCTCCCCGTCGCGCTCCTCCGCAGGAGCAGCAGCAGCAGCAGCAGCAGCAGCAGCAGCAGCAGAAGTCCCCTCGGGCGTGCAGGTTCCGCGTGGGAGCCTCCGTGTCAAAGGCAGAGGGGAGAAAGAGAGAGAGAGAGAGGAAGAGAGCGAGACATAGATGAGGATAGAGAGAGGGATAGAAAGGAACACATAATGCAAAACACATAGAGGCAGAGACAGAAAGACAGGGATAGAGAGACTGAGAGAAATATGCATTATATGTGATATCTATTGTATACAGAGAGAGAAGAGAGAGAGAGAGAGAGAGAGAGAGAGAGAGAGAGCATGAGGGAGAGAGCATGAGGGACAGAGAGAGAGAGAGACAAACAGAGAGAGAGAGAGAGAGAGACAGACCAAACAAAAACACTAGAAATGGAACAAGGACGCGGACTGGCTACGGTGCCGCCGCGCCTGGACTCGCTGGGCCCTCATCTCCTGCGCCTCGGGGCGCGCGGGCGGCTGGGATGGTGCTCGGGGCTAGGGCGGTTGATGCCAAGAGTAAGTCGGGCATGTCGCCCTACAGGGGGATCTGGGGCGAAAAATCAAAAAAATACGCACAAAATGCCCCCCAAATGGGCGAAAATAGTCAACAAATCGTCCCCTGACTATTGTTTGACTATTCTTGAATATTCCTCCTGTAGAGGGATGGGCCCCACTTAATGCCAAGACCACGCTGCGCTGCGCCGCCCTGTCGCCTGCACTGCACTGAACCTCCTGGCGGGTCCTCCCCTCGGCGGGGAAGCCCGCGCGCCTGCAGCTGGCGGGATCGGGATACCATCCAGTTTCAGAAGGCACGCGTCGCAGCGTCGAGGCCCCTCCGATGATCATTTCATCCATTGGCCCACCATTGAGCAGGGACCGACCGTCCGGGCACCCCTGTACTCCTACCACGGAGTGTTCTTAGAACCCAAACATGTTCAAAAAACAAAAACAGTGCTCTTAGAACATAGACCCGATGTGATAAAACAAGACAGGCTCCGCCAGAAATGTTCTAAGAACATTTCGTGGAATCCACAAAAGATTATTTGCACAGTGTTTGGTGGGGCTATAGGCGAGCCAGGACGCTTCGCCACTGCTTGACATCAGGCTGCGAGGACTAGGCTGTCCTGCTCACTGCAATGGCGCCGACTCCCAAGATCTATGATCATGAACTTCCTCTTGTCCAAGTCCATTGCTGTAATAAGTCAAGTCCGCACGGAGGGAGGGGGGAGGGGGGGCGAAAAACAGCCTTTAATTCAACCGCGCCGGAATCGCGTAATCTAAATTCCTGGCCAGGGGCCCTGGGACATGTACAAATACAAGATCTTCGCGTTCCCGGCGCCACTGCCCCCCGCAATTCACAACAGGCTCGCGTTCCCGAAACCATAAACCCAGAGGAAGGCACGCCAGATCTGCTGTCCCCAAGCCGCAACAAATGGCAAAGTGAACCAGGCTCGGGCTCCCCACGCCACCATCCACTACACAGAGACATTTTCGCGCGCCCCAGCCGCAATCCCGTGCAATCTGCACGAAGGTCGCGCCCCCCAAGCCAAATTCCGTCATAGCTTTCGCCAGATTCGCGCCTGCAAAGCCACAAATTCTCATACATGACACCGTGCTCGCGTTCCCCACACCACAATCCTTCTTGAATCATGCCGTGCCCGCGCCCCCCGACGCCGCAACCCACCATCCCTCGTCCCCCGTGGCCAGATCCCCCTGGAATTTCACCAGAGTCGCACTCCCCAAGCCAGAGACCATAGTCAAGTACGTGAGGTTCGCGCTCCCCAAGCTACAAAAGGTACAAATGGCACCACGGTCGCGCCAACGCGGCCGTAGCCTCTCGAAAATGACATCCAGCTTGCGTCTTCGTGGCTACGCATTTGCGCTCCCGAGGCCACAAATCCAGCCAACGGAAGCTGCCCCAAAGCGCCCCAACCGTGGACAGATCAGATAAAGCTGGAATATTCTGTATATGGGATGCGTGTTCGGTGGGCGCTTGTCAGCCCCCCCCCGTCGAATCCTGAGAATTCGGCTCGGGGCTCGGGCCTGCGAATCCTTGAAAAAAGCTAGGGGCACGCGCTCCCGAAGACTCGAGTCCACGTAAATTACAGACGCGCGCAACCAGCAAGCCAACAAACAGCCCACATCCATTGTCAATGATCACTAAAAAACAATATGCAGCCGAGTTGCCAGTGAGCTTCCCAGACTATGGCGCAAAAGCTAGGCCTGACAGGGCTCCTGCATGACTCAAGGGGGGAACCACGAACCACCATAGAAGTCCTGGTGTGCTTACATGCTCGTGAAGCGTTGAGCCTGCAGATGCAACATGGCGCCACTGCGATCCACCGCGTCACCGTCTCGTTCCCCGCTTTCCGCGCAGAAGCTTGCAACGGGCTGCGACCAATCAGCGATAAGAGACAAGCGCTCACGTAGCGCGCGAAGCCGTTACGTCACAGAGCTCAGGCCGTTGGGACGTCACGCATGGAGATGTCTTTGGCGAGTGCCCCATCTCCTTCCTCAGCTGCCCCTCGCCCCCGGGAAACACGGTCATGTCACTTGGGCCTTTGAGCACTTCGGGATCTATGGCGTGGGCCTCGACGCACTGCGCCTAGCTACGCGGAGATTTGTTGGGTTAGGTGCGGGGCGGTGCGCGTGCCAGCATGGCCCAATGGTTCAACGTAGCTGCAAACCACAAACTTGCGCCCCCAACAATCACGGCACTCAACTCAGCGCATCGCCTTGATAGCCGCTCTGCATGTCTAGAAAGGCTTGAGCACGTCCCTTGACAATGGTGGCCGGCTTGCCAGCGACGCCGTAGCTGCAAGCCGACCACCACAAGTGGACAAACGACTTGTGCGCTGACTCTACGGAAGCATACCGATGAACAAACATATCTGGAGGATTTACAGTGTTAGCTAGCATGGACCCCAAACAATGCTCTCTTGCAGAATATACGGCCCAATCTAGGTGGTGCAATCAGTGTGGTGCAATGTATGTGGCGCAAAGCAAAGCAATGCAAAGCAAAGCAATGTACACCAACGGGCGGCGACGGGGACACCACAAGGCGGCGGAACCGACAACCAGGCCCAGACGAGGGGCGGCGAAGGGCGGCGACGTGGCCACTACAAGGCGGCGGAGCCGACAGCCAGGCCCAGTTTCCCAGGAGAGAAGTGAGAACACCTAAATGCAAGCACTGCTGCGCACTGCCTGGGGAATGGAACATATAATGCGCACCCCGAACACATCTGCGGATGTCCCGGGAGGTCTCCCCAGGTCCCTGGAGGGGCAGGAGGAGGAGGAAGAGGAGGGGGAGGAGGACGAGGAGGAGGAGGAGGAGGAGGAGGAGGAGGGGGAGGAGGAGGAGGAGGAGGAGGAGGAGGAGGCTGAGGCCTACGGTCAAGAACGTTGGCCCAGCGTGTCGCCGCGGTGGCCCGGGCGAAACGCTATGCCTCGTGAGCGGACAGCGTGTCGCTCCGCTCCGCGCGGCGGGAGCCTCCGCAGAGGCTCGGGGCGTGGGCGCCCCGGGAGCGCCGCGCCGAAGCGCGGGGGGCAGAAGCAGCGGCGCGGCACGCGAGGCAGACGCTCTTCCCGACCGTGGGCCCCTTCCGAGCCCCCAGAGGCCCAGGAAACGCTCAAAGCTTAATCAGGGGGACGTAAGACCTGGGTACAGGGGACTCGGAAATCCCCGACGAGGTCGTCAAAAAAATGACGAGGCCGAGCCTGCATTTTGACGAGGCCTCCCGCTGCAGACATCCAACGAAACTCCTCCTCGTCAAAATCCGAGGCGCGGTCGTCAAAAAACGATGGCGAACCCGAGTCCTGGCAAACCCGGGTCTTACGCTCCCCCGACTTAAGTCGGGCGTGCCCCCCCTACAGGGGGATTTGGGGCGGAAAGCGAAGAAACGAGTCAAAAAAGGCACCCCAAATGGCTCAACAAAGATTCAGAGCATCGTCCACCGACCATTTTTTCACGATTTTTGGATACTCCTCCCGTAGAGGGGCAAGCCCGACCTAACTCACAGCGTCCAACAGCCACGATCCCGCAACCTGGAGTGTCGAGACGGCGGCGACCACGAAGACGAAGACGACCTCCGACTGACGGCCCAGCGGCGCGCGGCGCCTCGATGCGCTCCATCTGCCGCGACCTGTGGGCGTCGAGCTCGCCGGCCCAGCGCCTCCCGACGTCCTGGCGCCGCGCTCGCACGACCCGCGGCCCCGTCCTCGAACTTCGGGCGCCGGTGATCCTGCGAGTTCAGCCATGCTCACGGTGTCCTGGATGCACGCTCGCGGTCCTCGCACATCGAAGCCTTTTTTTTGTTTTGGATTTGCGCGCGGGTGATCGTCTGCCGAACACTCCTGCCCGTGGCGCCGAAACGACGAGCGAGGGGCCCGAAGAAGGGCCGAAAGAAGCGAGGGACGGACCAGGACCCGAACAGAGCCGAGCGAGGGACCGACCCGAGCACACAGGGAACTTCGAGGTCCTGGCTCCTCGCTCGCGGTCATCGGGCTTCGAGACCAGGCTCGAGTTCGGCTGCGCTCGGGCTCGTCGTCGCTCCTCGCGGCACCTGTGGGGGGCCCGCCCCTCTGGTGCATGGAGCCCTCCTCCCCTCCGGAGTATCTGCTTCTCTGTGTGCCAGCGCATGACGTGCACGGCTTCTGTCTGTACGTCCTGTTCTTTCCCTCCTCTTCCTCCTCCACCCCCTCATTCTCCTAGTTTTTTTCTTCGCAGAGGGGGGAACGTAAGTAGGATGTTGTCGCCCGACTTCCTACGTCATGATTTGTTGATCTCGCTCGCCAGGTTCTTCTTCATCGGCCTAATATCTCGCCTGGACTGATTTCGCGCTGGGCGCTTGTGTTACTGTGCGCGCAGGAGTCCGACGCCGAAGCTGGTGGACTGAAACCTGCGGCTGCGAGTCGGGCAAGAGAAAGCTGATCAAGAGGACTCTGACGCGCCTGGAGTGCTCTTGGCGAGGTGCAACTGCTGGAAACAATCCCCAGGGGCCAGGACCACAGAGAAACACCCGAAAACGTGAAATAAGGGAGGACAAGGACGAGCATGTGGAGGGGGAGGGAGGGGGGTGGACACGGACGGAGGAGGGGGAGAAAGAGGTGGAGGGAGACGAAGAGGGCGAGGAGGAGTATCTTCCTCGTCCTCCTCATCGTCGTCGTCCTCCTTCTCCTCCTCCTCCTCCTCCTCCTCCTCCTCCTCCTTCTCCTCCTCCTCCTCCATCTCCTCCTCCTCCTCCTCCTCCTCCTCCTCCTCCTCCTCCTCACTCGAACGCGCTATGTAGCCATGTTGGCTCATGATGTTTCCCTGGAGGGGCTGTCCAGCCTCAAGGCAGCAAGGATACTGCCAGTCCGCGGCCAGATCACAACTGTTCGCCCTGCGTGGGCAAGTCAGCTGTCTCTGCGAATTGTTAAGGAGCCTTGACTTCCGTCGGCGTTCCAGGCACCACAGTGTGTCGCCACGATGGCCCCCAAGGGCAAGGGCCGCTCGACATACACGGTGTCCGCTGCGTGGGAGCGCTGGGTGTGGGATCAGAAGTTGGACGAGCAGAAGGGCTACTGCAAGCGTGGACAATTTCTGGGGACCCAGGACCTGCAGCTGTCACTGGAACCGGCGCTCTGGTCGACGAAGAAGACTGGCTGGGCCAAGGAGTCATTGGGATCCCGTGGCTCCGGAGGCAGCGAGCGGGGATCGGACTGGCCCCACTTGACTCGCACTGGCTCGCATGTCGACCACAACATGGGGTGGCTCACCACCAAGAAGCTGGAGCAAGTCTCGGGTCCTGGGCTGCAGTCGGCGGTTCAGCTAGTGAAAAAGCAGCTGGACCAACAAGCGGCTGCGGCGACTGCGCCGCCCCCGCCGAAATCTGTGCTGCCGTCCGGGCGGCTCCTGCACGCCTACGAGGCGACCCTCAAGGCGCAGAAGGCAGTCAATGTGGCACTCAAGGAGATCGAGCATGCGAAGCAGACGATCGGCACGCTGGGGGAGTAGGTCGAGCTGCCCCTCGGTGTGCTCGCCGACTGCGACGGCCGCGGTGGCGGCCTCCCTCGAGCCTGCCAAGGCGTTGGCATCACCGCTGCGGGGCGGCCATCGCAATTCGCTAGCGCTGGCCAGGCGGGGCGCGGAGGCCGGCTGCCGGGCGCGCACAGAACCGCCCGTGCCCTGGGCCGAGAGTTCTAGCCTTCCTGCTCGTGCTCGAGTCACCTACACGAGCGCTGCTCGTGACAGAACGGACCGCCATGCCGTGCGTGGCGTGCTCGCCTGTCTGCCGCTCGCCACCGCAGCCTCGCGAACGAGGGCTGTGGCAGCGGGGCCGGGATGCAGCTGCTGCTCGAGGCGCCGGGTGATACAGGTGGACCGGGCGGCTTCGCATGCCGACGAGCGTGCCCGCCTGCTCACTTCCCCGCGCGACCTGCCTCTCGCCCTCGGCAGTGCGACTGCTGACGCGTGGGCGGACTTGCTCGGAACGGAGCCTCGCGAGCCCGAGGTCGACGCCATCGCCGCGCTCGTACGCCAGCGGGCGCGCAGAGCGCTCGCGCGGGCGGGCGCCGCCGATGCGGAGAAGGGGTGTCGCGCGGCCGGCCCGGGGCGGCCAGCACGCACGCTTGCTCGGGTCGCGGCACAAGGGTCGGACCGACAGCAACACCTTTTGCATTTTTGTGTGGCACTGCATGCGGTGGACCCTCGCTGACTGCCTGCAGCCTGGCGGCAGCAGTTCTAGTGGAGGACGGAGCGCGCCCATCCCCTCGCGGGTGCTCCGAGGGGGGGGGGGACTTCGAGCTCCCCTGGACCGCAGTCTTCCCGCGGAAGGCGGGGATGGCCTGCAGCTGCACGCCGCACACCGACTTGGGGTCTGGCCCGAGCACTCGGTCACGCTCTGCCAGAGATGCTGGCGGTACACGACGGGTAGCGACCAGCGCCAGCTGGTGACACGATGTCTTGGGCAGAGGCGCAAGGGCGCTGAGAACCTGTTGCGAATTCGGCGAGGGTTATTCCTTCGGCGCGCAAGACGGCCCGAAGGCGATCCTTCGTGCTCTGAGCAGCGAGCTCTGCGTGGCTGCCAACCGTCTCCCTATACTTCAGCCCGGCGGGGCCTCGGAGGCTGTGCAAATGTATGGAAGACTGAGAGAGTAGCTTGCTACCGCTCGGGCGTCGATTCCACGTGCATGTTTCGAATTCGTGCGCTTCTATTTCCGTAGGATGAGCCAAGATGCTCTTCGATGGTCCCAGCCGGGGAAAAAAAGTGCACACGTCCGAGCGATGCCAAGGTGTTCTTCTCCCCGTCCCCAGGAGGGTCGTGCACTGATGGGGAGGCGCGGGCCCATGTCGTCCACGGGGCTTCGGTACCGTAGGCGAGGTGGCTGCGCGTCCTCTTGGGTGCATGCCCCGATTGGGCCCCAGGGTAAAACACGTCCCAAACAGTCCCTTACTCGAACCTTGTCCCAGGGCGCAGAATGCCCAAAACTTCAAGCCAGGTTCACTCATGGCGACGAGGACGCCCCGTGAAGAGTCCAAACCAAGGCCAACAGCGTCCCAAAACTACAATATCGCCGATCCAAGATCGAGGAGGGGGAAGAAGAGGAAGAGCGGTATCGGGCTAGCCATCTCGAACGAGTCAGCAAGCCCCGGCCACTCCACCCACCCTCCCATCATAGAAGGACCATGGTTTCAACGCGAAGCCCCGCAAAGAGTTGCCACGTCAAGCAAGGATCACCGAGGGGCGCTCGCTAGCCCTTTGAAATGCCCAGGTTCAACATAGTTGTGGCTAACAAGGACGAGACACTGCCAAACGATGGTAAGCGAGAGGGAAGAAGAAAATAACCATGAGACGGACAACAGAAATAGGGAGAGAGAGAGAGAGGGAGAAAGGGGGCAGACCAGAACGCAAGAATCCGTGCTGGCACCTCTGGATTCTGAGACTGGCGCTTCCGACGACCTCACGAAGGGGAAGCATGGTCGGGCCGGGGGCGGTGGTCCACGTGGCCTGGAGGAGAGCCCAGGAGGGTCCGACACGGCCCAGGAGCGATCCATGACGTCCATTGCGGACTCCTGACGGTCCAAGAGGCCTCCAGAATACTTCAAGGGCGCCCCAAGAATACCCCCAAGAGGGTCCAGTGAGGGACAACTCATTGATTATCCTGGGGTTTTTTGAATGGATTAAAACGATCTCGCCTTTCTGGGCTGCAAGCGCTCCACGACCGCCCAAGAGGCCCCAAGGATCTCCCTAAGACAGCCCCCCAGGCCTCAAGACAGCACAAGGGGGCCCCAACACGGCTGAAGAAGGGTCCAAGAGGGGAGGGCCACGAACTGCTATTTCGAGCCTTCTGTCCGAGACGACCCTCCAGATCGCAAACAGGACCCACAGAGATCCTCAACAGGCCCAGGGGCGCCCAGGGGGACCAGAGAGGCCCCAAAGAGGACCCTCTGAGTCCCCAAGAAACTCGCAAGATGCTCTCCAAAAGGCCCCCCCCCCACACAAAAAAAAACCTTCCAATTTGGCACCCAAGAACCCCCGAAGAAGCCTCCAAGACCTTCCCAACATACTCGCATGCTAACAATGATACAACATGGGCCGGCGAAGAAAAGAAAGCGATCCGCCGCCCCAACGGATACGGCGCGTGAGAGCCCCGCATCACTGTCTGCAAATACTCTTTTGCTCCATCCTCTGCCCTACAGTGCGAGCGTGGCCGCAAGAAACCCTCGCAAGAAACCCACCCCTGAAAACCCGCGCGCGAAGTGCACCGGAGGGGAAGCCTGGAGCACTCTGAACGCTGTAGCTCCTTCGACGGCCGCGGGAAGTCGCCGCGCAGTGCGCGGAGCGAAGAAACCCAGGAGACCCTGACGAAGAACAGCTGGCTTCTTGATGCGCGCCCCCCCCGCTGTACTCACTTCTTGTGCTCACGTGCTCGTCACTCCCGAGGAACCCATCCTGGGGCCCTCCCCGCGGCCTGCCCGTTCCGCGGACCCGAGGGCCATAGGTGCAAGCTGGGCGTCTGCTGCCCGCCACTCTACCCGTCGCTCGGACGTCCATTCCCTGTGTTTTTTGGTTTCGCGCGTGGTTTTTTCACAGAGTGATCCAGGATACTCCTTTAGAATCCCCGAAGAGAAAAAATGCACACGTCCGAGCGATGCCAAGCACGTTGCCCCCAACACAAACACGCTTTCGCACGGGAGGCTTCCAGACGCCTGCGGACGGCGTCTGGGGCCTCTCCAGAGGCACTCTGGGCTGTCTTGGGGGCCTCTCGGGGCCATATTGGGCAAATTTGGCCCGTCGTTGGGTTCCTCGTGGACCGTCTTGGAGCCTTCCCAAGCTCTCATTGGATCATGTTGCGCCGAAGAACCACATGAAGCTGCATGCGGTCGAACAGCGGCTTTGAAGATATGGGCCGTCTCGAAACAAATGTTTTCCTCTTTGGGGTCTCTCTTCAAGAGCCTCTTGTGACACTGTTGGGGCCTCTCCGGCCACCTTGGGTTATCTTGGAGGTCTCGCGGACCGCCCTCAAGGCGTAGTGGAGCTATCTTGGTCCGTCTGGCTACCATCTTGGAGCACGTTTGAGGAGTCCTGACGTCCCCCCACCACCCTGGAGGCTCTTCTGAGGAATCAAGACTCGTATTGCGGTGCGCAGTTTGCCCCTCAATCTGCCTCTCGTGTTTTCCCCCGCCGCTTAGAACAAACTACGGTGCTCTTTCGAACTGTCTTTGTGGCCTCGCCGGTCTTTGAAGTTCTCTTGCCTTGGGGCCGCATTGGGCACTTCTTTACGTGGCCCTCTTCTTGCTTCCACCATGCCTCCGAAACAACTTGA